AAGATCCTGGGTCTGTAGGAAGTTGGCCTGGAATGGAGTCATCAACTCTAGGGGCCAGCAAGTGGCTTTCCCCAAAGCAGCTCACATGTACTGCTATCAACTTTCTGGATTTATAGAAGCCAACCTTCTGACATCATAGGTTAGCAAGATGATGGCATGTAGCCAGGTTCTCAGGTAGATGATAAGTTATGCCCCCCACATCACCTCTTAGATCCAGAGCCACTATACTCACCATCCATCCTAATGGGTAGAATGCTTAGACAGGACAAATAAATTTGTTGTATATCTCATTATGATCTTTTGCATTTTTGGGCCTTTGTGCATCTGTCTTGAATGTCCTTCTTTCCTTTGCCTGGCAAATTCTGAATCATCCTTTAAATTCCAGCTCAAAAGTTATTTTATTTAATAAGCATTTGCTGAGTTTGGACTGTGGTTTTAGTTCTACATAATGGTGAACAGGGGCAGCTCCTCCTTATAGGGCTTAGTCTAGTGGGAGATTGCAATGGTAAATGTTAGGATAGTGAGAGCAATACAGAATGGAGTGGGAGCAAGCATGTAGCTGCTTTGCAATGGAGGACAAAGCATGAGAGACATGACCTTTCAGGTGTGAACTGAGGGATAAGTAGGAGTCAGCCAGGTCAAGGCAGGAAGGGAAGGAATATTCTAGACTGAGAAAACACCCTGCATAAAAGCCCTAAGCCATAGTAGTACTTGATGTGCTGTTGATAGGGTTGATGCATTTTAAGTGAGGCAGGCATTGTGGTAAGGAGACGGAGCAAGACTTTTAAGGACAGGTTATATTTTGGATTTTATTTTATGTGTAGCAGATGCCATTGAAAGGTATTAAACAAGCAAGTGACATGATCTGATTTACAGTTTAAAAGGCTAGCCCTGTAGTGATCCAGGTGAGATCACGATGAAGGCTTGGACCGGGGTGCTGGTAATGGAAGTGAGGAGGAGGTGGTACAGTATGAAATTTAATTTAGAGGCTGAGTGCACAAGATTGTCAGATGTGCTGAATGTGGGAATGAGAGAGAGATGTCAGGAATTACCTCTGTGTTTTTGACTTGAGCATCTAGGCAAATGTTGCTGCTTCTGTTAATTGATAAAGGAATGACCAAGGGAAGACTTGTGTGGGTTGAGGAGTCAAGAGTTTTGCTTTGAACATGTTAAATTTGATATGAAAGAACTAGACTAGAGATGTTGATTTGCCAATCAACAGCATAAAGGAGGTGTGGCAGTTTTTATACATGTCTGCAAATTCTTTGGCACTCCTCCTATTAATAGGTGAGGTCTGTGCCTCTCCTCTTGAATCTGGGCTGGCCTTAATACCTCTTTTGTAACCAAAAAAATGCAGCTACTTCCAAGGTTAGGACAATAAAAGCCATGCAGCCTTCAATTGTTTCTGTCAGAACACTGTTCTCCATGAGGCTTCTTCTAGAGATGTTCCCTCTCAGGACCCAGCTTCCATGTTGTGAGAAGCCATAAGGAAAGGCCATGTATGGATGCTCCAGTCAACAATCCAAGTTGAAGCTATCCTTCAACCATCACAACCCAGTTGCCAGACGTGTGAATTAAGGACCCTACCTCCTGGTTTGGCAACCAGAACCTCCCTCATCTTCTCAGTTTAGAACCCAACCTTTTCCCTGATGGACAGGACTGGAGCTGAGCAACTAATATGCCTATATCTCACCACAAAATCCCCTGTCACATGGAGCTTTGAAGTAGATTCTCCATCTCCAGATGTTCCAGTCAATTAAGTTACATCTGCTTATTTGAGTCTTCCTTTCTGAGGTCTTGGGCATTGTGGAACAGAGACAAGCCATCTCTGATGCACCCTGTCCACATTCCTGACCCATGGAAATAATAAACAGTTGCTGTTTTATGCATTAAATTTAGGGGTAGTTTGTTACATAACAAAAGATAATTGAAATATGCAGTCACTGAAGCTATCAAGACAGATGAGATCATTCAGTGAGAGTGTGTAAAGTGATAAGAGCAAAAACACTTTAGGGAACCCTAGCTTTTAAGAGATGAGAGAAGTTGAATAGGAAAATCATGACAAACAAAAAGGTAGCAGGGGGAAAAGTAGGGGTATCAGGAGATTGTGGTGTCATAGAAACCAAAAAATAAAGTCATTGTCAACAGTGTCAGATGCTGCTGATAGGTCAAGTAAGATAACTGAAAAAATGCCTTTAGGTTTTAGTTAACCAGGGAAGTGGTGACTCAGCAGGAGTAGCTTCACTGAGAGCAGGTAATAGAAATAGAATTCTTTTAGAAGAGAGGAGCAGAGATGACGAACAAAGGAAAGACTGGTCTTAGAAGGGAGGCCACCTTTTGTCTGTGACAGAAGGGAAGGGCATGATAATATGTGAAGATCCCAAGATTTCTGTTGAGTTGTTCACAAGAAGTTTAGGGATTTCCTTCTGATGGTTTCTGTTCTCCCCAAAGCTGAAACTTTGGAGGGAAAAACAAAGGGGAGGTGTTTTTTTGTTTCCAGTATGTGCTCTTGGCTTACCTGGGGGACCCCTGCCTGATGCCAACACCCCCGTAACCTTCTCAATGTAGGACCCAACTTTTCTCATGATGGGACTGGAGCTGGGCTACTAATAATCCTACACCTCATTACACCAAGACTCTGCCACATCAAGCTCAGGCCAAGGATATAGTGTGGGACTTGAGGAGGTCCCTACTAGACCTGTTTGGCCCCTGCATTCCCCCCATTTAGCCACCTCATTGTCTTGGTGTTTAGCTAAATTCTTTTGAAGCTGCCAATCTATATGAGTTGTGTGACAGGCAACCAAAGAATGAGGTTTGTGTTCCTGAGGTGGGCTGGTGTAGGAGCCCCAGGATGTGGTGACATGCAGAGGTAGAGTGGGCCACTAGGGCAGCTGCTGGAAAGCATACTCTGTAGATTTTGCTCTGATCAGAACTCCATTTTACTAATTGGGAAACTAAGTATGACGTCAGGGGAGGGACTTGCCCAACATCATCACACAACATCTGTGACGGGATTGAGCCCTGGCTAAAATACAAGTGTTCATTCTCAGTGTTTTCTCCATGATATCAAATTGTTGGAGCTCCAGAAACAAGACAGAAGCAAGGCAAAACAGATCCAGGTTGCTCTTTGATGGAAAACGGTAGGAGGCCCCAGAAGGCAGCTTGCCCAGTCAACAAGGGCAGGTACCTTTGGCCTTATTCTAGTGGATGGTCACATGATTAACATTTCTGGGCAAAAGAGAGCCTGTGTAATTCAAAGCTGTTGAGACTGAAGAAAGATCCCTGCCTCCAATTTTAAGGCCTCTTTGACAGAGTTTCCCCTAATCGTGTTCTTCCTTTTCCATTTCCCTTCTTGTTCCATGTTCTACTAGACTTATTGGAAAGATTCAGAGTTCCAGAGGGCCAGCTCAGACTGGGAAGCCCTCTGAAGGGTGTCATAACACAGATGCATCCTAGATGGGCCAGTGGGTTATGTCTGAGACTTTCAGAGGTTCCTGGTGCTCAGTCATGCCTTCCTCTCCTGCCCTCAGTACTTTAACACAAGAAACTAATAGTTCATTAAATGAACCCTCCAAAAAAAAAAAAAAGAAAGAAAGAAAGAAAGCAAATAGGAGCAAACAATTATTTAAGTAGAAAAAAATATATTTAAAATGACTTAAAACAGAGCATAATTATTAGTACCCAGATGCCCTTAGAGTTGCTCTAGAAGGTTGCACATTGCTTTTGTTTCCATTAATCTCCACTGATTATGGTTCAGCTAGTTTTCTCTCCACCACAACCCTGATGGAACCCTCCCCTATGTATCTCTGTTCTAAATTAGCATTCATTTATTTATACTTATTGAGTGTCTATTATGTGTTAGGCATTCTTCCAGCAGCTCCTAAAGCTCTTGCTATGCATAGGTCTCTGATGTTCTATCATAAAATACTTGAGTCCAGAGATCCTGGTCCCAGTTTGGGATATGGCTTCAAACTCTAGGGAAGTTCAGCAACAGAAGTGCTGATGGGAATAGCTTGAGCTTTTCCCTAAGACTAGGGGAATAGTTTTCAGAGGCAAAGTGGTTTCAGAGGGTTCTCAAGGAAACAACCCTTAAATATTGGTATGCAGTTTTGCCAGAGAGGCTGCCATCTGTACTTTGCCTGGCTGTTCTGGGGGTATGGTTGAACTGGTCAAGGGACTGTGAGGTTGTTGCAGCAGCAAGGCATCTATCAATGACCACAGGGCTGGAACATGCAATGAGGGTCAGATTGGCCAAGTCTCAAGAAAACTTTTATATGATTTGAAATGCTCTCCCAAAGAGATTTCCCTTATCATCTAGGAGCCAGGTGATTTCCTCAAGCAGATCTCATGAGATTATTTCCCAGATTTTTCCTAACTCTAAGAAATAAGGGTCATCATCCATTTCCCAACACATGGATCAACCAATCAGACATCCACTCTGCCTAATAACTATTACCTAAGGGAACTATTGCCTAAGAAAAATGGTAATCAATGGGAAAGAGAAAGCCTTTAGAATTGCAATGAGAATAACTTTCCCTATTTCCTGGGAGTGGGCAAATTTAGCAGAGGAAACAATGCAGGTGTTTCCTTCTCTGTCTTATTAGGTAATGAGACCCTTGAGTCAATCAAAGCTATGTTTTCACATGGGTTCCATTTTGGATCAACTGTAATAGGTATCTTGCTCAGGGGATACTCTTTTCCCAGCTTATTTCAATAGTGTTAAGAAGTAGAAAGCAAGGGTGACTTGAGAGTGGGGGTGAAAGATGAGTAATCAAAAAAAGTCTCTTGGAGTGCCTTGGTGGCTGTCAGTTGAGCATCCAACTCTTTTGGCTCAGGTCATGATCTCAGGGTCATGGGATCAAGCCCTACATCCAACAGGTTCTGCACTCTGCAGGAGTCTGCTTGAGATTCTTTCCCTCTCCCTCGGTCCCTCCCACTGCTCATGCACACTCTTTCTCAAATAAATAATCTAAATTTAAAAAAAAGGTCTCCAGTCTGAGTACAATTCAGAAGTTTAATAAACAGCCGCTAAACATTGCACCAAAGCATTTGGAAACACAATTTCTACAGAAAGGCAAAGGTCAGGCTTTCATTCTAAACTCCTTTAGACGATCATTAACAGCCCCACCCACCCCACCACCCCCCAAACCCACATACCCACAACACTACACTCTTCTAGTCATGAAATTGCCTACAGACATACTCAGAAATAATGGGACTGGCATGCATTATCCCAGCAATGGCAGAGAAGCAGGGGATGGAGGGGATGGATGGGTGCAAAGGCAACCAGTGGCTAATGATAAACCCCTTAGGAGCTTTGTTTAGGTAGTGGGCAGGGACAGTCTGATTTTGGTGCCATCTGTGGCTTAGGCTTCTGGGATAATCTGGACTAGTGGCTGGGACTGCCATCTTAATATCATTCCATTGAGCCATGACTATTAGAAGTGGTCTCCTTGGGTGACACATTGTGACTTCTTTCTACAAATCTTTTTGGTGTTCAACCAAACTGCATGCAGGAGTCAGCAGGACTGTTGAGATTGTGCTGATTTAGAGGTCAAGTGGACCTGGCTTCTCAGTCCTGTCTTCATTTTGGCCTTTGGAAAGGGACCCATGATAGTTCTCTATTACAGACACTTATAAGGTGTCTAGGCAAGTCATTTAAACATCTGAGACTCAGTTTTTCTATCTTATAAAAATTTTACAATCATAATACATTAAGAACAAATGAGATCAAATGGCCCCTAGTAATATATTAACAAACTGGTAATAATGATTCACTTGACTCAAAAATCAACTAGACTCCAATTCACCCCTCTAAGAATTGGCATCAATAGAGAACCATAGTTCCCTGACATAGTGAGAGCACAGTTCTTAGGCCTGGGCTAGCATTTAGAGTGTGGAGGGCATGGAAGGAATAACTGGACTTTCACCTGCCAGTGGCCCTCTCTTTAGAGTCAGACTTTAAGTTTTACCACCCAGCCCAAATCTCTTGCCTCATCCAGTATTTGACTAGTTGCCTTGGCAGGGAGGTGACTTTCCTACCTAATTTTTAAAAAAATATTGTGTAGGCATTTGATTTAGATCTTTTTGTTTCTGTTTGTCCCTTTTTAATATAAATTACAAAAATACTTGATCCTTTTCCTGAAGAATTTGCAGACAGTAATGAGTCCAAACTAAGCAGTGTCCAGCTGACAAAGGAGGGTCAAAGGACTTTTCTGAAGGAGAGATATACCAAAGAAGATACTATTTTCCTGAGCGGCTGAACATGGCAGAGCATCAGCCATCTTGGGGCCAGGCTGGCCTAGTTGGTTCTGTTTTGGCCATATATCATTGACATTAGTGAGCTTCAACAGTCCCCACTAACCTCCAAGCCAATGAAGAGGCTGGGGCCAGGTTTAGAGGTTAGCACTGGCTCCTGCCTTTGCTAGCAGTACTTTTGCATAGTGGGCCCAGCTGTAGGTAAAGGAAATAGCAGGCTAGGACCACATGGGATAGCCTGGCTCGTGAATGAGTCAGAATCATCTGATCTGGACCATTCAAGAATCCTCCTTGGTCTGGACCACTCAAATAGCCAAGTTTCCCACTACAAGTAGTTGAGTCTCCTGTTCTTTTTGCAGTGGGCAGAGTGCAATAAAATACATGCAGTGCCCTCAGCTGGGGGAGACTGACTGACAGACTAAGATGAGCAACTGAACAAATGGCAGTGTTTGGCTCTGATGAGGGTACACTCAGCAATGTCAGAGGGACAAGTAATTTTTCTGTTATTATTTTTTTCATTGAGATTCATAAATATGAATTGAGAGTCACAGCTTGGTAGAGAGTTAAAAAGAAGAATCCTGAAATACAGAAAGGGGAGCCCTGGGGTTTGGGTGCCTGGATGCTTCCTAGGGTATACAGTGCTCTGGTTGCTGCATCCCCACTATCTAGTGTTTGCGGATCATGCCCTTGATAGCTGACTCCCGGTTGACATAGGTGGCCCAGTAGACCAGATTAAAAATGGCAAAAAGCACAGGAAAGATGATGCGGGAAATTTTGTCAACCTTGCTGACACTGTTGTAGGTCTTGGTCTCAGTCGGGATGTCCTGCACGTAGTTGGCCTTGGGCGAAGCAATAATTGTTGGGGTTGAGGAGGCACTGGGAGCAGCGCCCTTGGAGATGGTGGAGAACTCAGTGTCCTTGGCCAGATTGATGGGATAGGTGGTCCCCACGATGTTGAAGGTGGTGCTGGTTTTCTTTGTTGGGGCTGCTGGTGTTTTCTTCTAGGAGCCAGAAAAAGTAGGGGAGAAGGGGGGACAAAACAAAAGCTAATTAATTCATTATACAGAGCACCTTCAGAGGCCGTAGGGAGGAGGAGCCATGAGGGAAGTTAAGAAACAGGCCAGGAAGCCAATAGCACTGAGTAGCCAGGTTTGTGTCTAAGGATAATTGAAGACAAGCTTGAAAACAGAAAACTTGCATCATCCTGGTTTACTAGCTATGTGGCTTTGGCCAAGTCATTCTCTTTGTGTATTAGTCTCTTCATCTGTAAAATGAAAATCAAAATATTTGGCAGGGTTGTTGGGAGGATCAGATGAAAGAATGGTGGTAAGAATCACTGGAAAACTGTGAAATGTTGGTCACATGTAGGGTCTTATATAGTCATGTGATTTGATCCTCACAGTAACCCTATCAAGTAGGTAGGTGAGGTTACTCCCATTTGACAGATGATAAAACTCAGCCTCAGACTGAGTAGCAGAGCCCACACTAGCCACCTGGGCTCCTGACTTTTATCCAGGGCTGTACTGTGTTGCTTTCTATAGGTGCGAGGCACTTTTTGGTTACCCGAGAAATAACTCCAAAAGGCTTCAACCATCAAGTGGCACATCCCCTGTGAGGAAGAGAGCTATGTGAGTCTGAAAGTCATTTCATCTTAAAGACACAATAAATACTATGGCATGTTTACATGCATCATTACAACAGTATTTCACCCTTCATGCACTGTAAATGTGTTCAGCAAACTAGGGGGCACACCAGGGTTTTCCACTCATACATGGATGCAGGCAGGAGCCAAGGCCTCTCTAGGGAGCTATGCAAATATTTCCCTCTGACACAGCAAGCCCCTGGCTGTTTCTGCCTTTGTTATGACACTGCCTTTTGTAAATTTTTTTTCAGAATTAAAAAAACTCAATGAGAAACAAACATGCACACATGTGCCCATTTGTTCCCACATATATGATTTGTGTACACATGGACCCTCCATGAAGAAAAGAGGAAACAAAGCTCAGGTCTAGATCAGAAGAGAGAGGTCTATAGTGATTGCTGCCTCCCTCTGCACTCTGGCCTTTTCTTCTTTCCATCCCTTTTTGTTTCTAGGGAAAAGTTGGGGATAGATGAGCTTCAGAAATGCCCAAGAGTATTTGATGAAAAGTGATAACTACTTGCATTGCCCTAATTCCTCACACCTCATTTGTTCCCTTTCTCAGTGTTATTTTGCTTCCCAGCATCTGTAATTTTACTTTACTCCTCTGCTTCTTGTTTCCTTCCAGGGTTTCTCTACTCCCACCTTCTCTTACTGACCCCTTTCTCCTAATCTCTTTATTTTCTTCTTTACATCAGAGTCCCTACCATTTTGATCTTTCCCCCCTTTAGACCATACTGCCATTTACCTTCCTGATTCAAGTATAACTTTGCCAAATATTTACTGAATATCTACTGGATCAAAACTATGCTAGGTATTTAGGGATAGGTGGGAAGGTTAAAAGATGAATCCATTTCAATCCCTGTTTTCTAGGAGTTTACAGTCCAGTGGGAGAGAGAGCTGAAGGAACACATTAGTGCTATATAGTATGATCAGAGTTCTAACAGATATGAGCAAATTATAACATATATGATGAGAATTCAGTAAAACAAGGGACAAAGTACCTATAGATGTTGGAAAAGGTAGCTCAGAGAAGGCAATGAAGTTTAGTGACCTGGGTCACAGAAGATAAGCAGGAGCTCATCAGTTGAAGATGCAGCACAGGCTAAGGGCACTGCTTGTTTGAGGGGATGATAAGAAGTCTGCTGTAGCTGGATCACAGTGTACTTGGCAAAGGCCTTGTATGCCATGCCCTCCTGCTCTGCCTGCCCATGCTGACTTTAGAGTTTTCAATCAGAGAGGGGGTGTGGGATAAATGAGTGTTGGTTTAAGTACATGAACCATCTCACTAATAGGTCTTTTATAAAGCAATACTGTTCTTTCTCTTTAAGAATTGCAGCCACATTGCTACACATGGAAGGGGGACAGAGCTCTAAGGCTTCTAAGAGCCTTGTAAATGCCTTAAATACTACATGGGACTCATTTATAATTAGCAACTTCATTGTGTGAATAAAGGCCTACTGTTAAATAGCACTTTACTTGTTTGCCTGCTCACTTATTAATTTGCTTAGTAATCTCTTTTTTTCTTTTTGTAGATAGACAAAGAAAAAAGGAGAAAGAAAAGAACCCCACTACCTTGACTTTGCTAGAAGCTTTCACGTTATTTCATTTAGTCATCATTTAAGCTGGTTATGACCAAGTCTCTGAAACAATCATTCCAAACAGCACTTTCTTTAGCTTCATAAGTCTTTTTTGTTCTATAGGTGAGGAGAAGCAGCAGTTGATTTAATCTCAGATTTTTAAAGCAATAAAGGAAAATTACCTTTTAATTTCCCTTGCCCTTTCCAACATGGCACATTTTAGTCAACCATTTTAATTTTTACCTAAATTGTCAAAGAAGGAAATCAAAGCAAAAGCTGTACTGTCAAGAAGACAGAAACAGGAGGTAGAGATTAATGGTTACTATTTATCCATTTCTGTTTCTAGTTTTCAATATTTCCCTATGCTCTGGAATTTGATAGATACAAACTAGACTTAGTTTTGACCAAGTTGTGATTCTATTCCTTCCTTCCTAGTCAAGTGCCTGACTTAGGCATGTCATAGATACTTAGTGAATAAAAAGATGACGTTCCTCCTTAGTCTTGACCTCTCCTATACAGAGACTATATCTATCTCTGTAGTTCAGCTGCGAGTTATTCCCACACCCCCAAACTGAAATTGACTCCTCCAAATTCCCCCAAGCAGTATGACTCCCAGGACACCTTTCCTTCTAGAAAGCCACCTCATATGGATTTTGGGATGAAGCAATGAAAAATTGTATGGACCAATGCATGTCCAACTCAAGGGTTTTCCTCAGATGGCATTCCTGTCTATTGTTCTAGAAGTGCTAATTACAGGGTTAGTTGGAGCCCTGAATGTACTTGATACTCAGCCAGGACCTCAGAGTATATGCAGATATGGCCCAGTGCTTCTGAATCCACCCCAAAACAGACATTCAACTTTCCTGAACCCCAGTTTTCATAAGTGGAGCAGAGTAATGACATATATGCTACGAGAGAATCAAAGACAAATCAGAGAAGTGACAAAAAAAGTTCAGGACCAGATGGCTTCATGGGTAAATTCTACCATACATTTAAAGAAGAGTTAAACCTATCTTTCTCAAATTAGTTTTAAAAGTTGAAGAAGAAAAAAAAAAAAGTTGAAGAAGAGAGAACACTTCCAAACTCATTTTATGAGGCCAGCATTACCTTGGTATCACAACCAGACACCACACACACACACATATTACAGCCCAAAATCCCTGATGAACATACATGCCAAAACCCTCAACAAAATATTAGCAAATCAAATCCAACAGTACATTAATTAAAAGGATTATATAGCATGATCAAGTGGGATTTATTCCAGTGATGCAAAGATGGTTCAAAATCTGCAAATTAATGAATGTGATACACCACAATAACAAAAAAAAAGGATAAAAATCACATGGTCATCTCAATAGATGCAGAAAAAAGCATTTGACAAAATTCGACATCCATTTATAATAAAAACTATAAACAAAGTGAGGATAGAAGTGTACCTCAACATAATAAAAATCATATATGACAAGTCCACAGCTAACATACCCAAAGGTGAAAAGCTGAAAACTTTTTCTCTAAGATCAAGAACAAGGATGTCCACTCTCACCATATTTTATTCAATATAGTATTACAGGTCCTAGCCACAGCATAAAAGAAATAAAAGTCATCCCAATTAGAAAAAACTGTCATTATTTGCAGATGACATGATCCTATATATAGAAAACCCTAAAGACTCCACTGAAAAACTACTAGAACTAATACATTCAGTAAGGTTGCAGGATACAAAATTAACATACAGAAATCACTTGCATTTCTATACACTAATAATGAGCTAACAGAAAGACAAATTAAGAAAACCCCATATGATTTCACTCTTATGTGGAATTTAAGAAACTTTTATGTGTAATTTAAGAAACAAAACAGATGAACATAGGGGAAAGGAAGGAAAAATAAAATAAGATGAAAACAGAGAGGGAGACAAACCATAAGAGACCCTTAACTATAGGAAACAAACAGGGTTGCTGGAGGGGAGGGGTGTGGGGAAAAGAGGTAATTGAGTGATGGGCACTTGATGTAATGAGCACTGGGTGTTGTATGCAAACAATCACTAAATTGTACCTCTGAAACTAATAGTATACGTTGATTAAATAGAATTTAAATAAAAATTTTTAAAAATGCAAAAAAAAGGAAAATTTTATTTACAGTTGCATAAAAAATAATAAAATACCCAGGAATAAATTTAACCAAGGGGGGTTTATGACACTGATGAAAGAAATTGAAGACAACACAAATGGAAAATTATACTGTCTCATGGATTTGGAGAATTAACATTTTAAAAATGCCCATACTACCCAAAGCAATCTATGGATTCAGTGCAATCCCAGTCAAAATACCAATGGTGTTTTTCACAGAACTAGAACAAAAAATTATAAAATTTGTATGAAACCACCAAAATACCCCAAATAGTTAAACAATCTTGAGAAAGTGGAACAAAGCTGGAGGTATCATGCTCACTGATTTCAAACCATACTACAAATCTATAGTAATCAAAATGGTATAGTACTGGCATGAAAATAGACATATAGATGAATAGAAAAGGGGATCCAGAAATAAATCTATGAATAAATAGCCAATTAATCTATGACCAAAGGAGGTAAAAGATCAAATGGGGGAAAGGCAGTTTCTTCAATAAATGGTGCTAGGAAAACTGAACAGCTACATGCAAAAGGACAAAAGTGGACCACTATCTTATACCATATATAAAAATAAACTCAAAATGCATTAAAGGCCTGAGTGGAAGACCTGAAAACAGAAAACTTCTAGAAGAAAACATAGGCAGTAA